TGAATATCAATGGAAAATTTCACATTGTTTGTGGCAGATCCCGCTGATATCCTTGAATGTTTTCTATCTCAGGATGAGTGTTGGGTATATCACTTTGGCAATGTTATATCTAGGATGAGCGTCGATCAATCTCAGTTTATCAAAGCCAGATGAGTTGTTCAATAACTGGATCATAAGATCCAATCTGCCCACAAAAGAACCAATTCAACGCCCCCACCAAAATCCAACCATGTGTGCGAAGTTGAAGTTCTGCCAAGAAAAAAATAATCACACAACAAAAGAGCCTATGACCTCTAGCGTCATTGATACGAGGGCAGATATTGAGAGCCCAAAAGAAAAAAAAATGGACACTGGCAATCAGCTACTGTCCTCAGATGGTTCACCCAAGAGTATAGACACAAGATAGGGGAACAGTCATGCAGAAACGTGTTTGCTTCATGGGGCCTATTGACTCAACGAACATACTACCATCTTGAGAAGGAGTAATCGCTGAAACTGATAACCATAACAATAATACTCATGTCCATAATGTTACCACAAAGGAGAACAAAACAAAAAAACAAAAACAGATCAATGGATTGTAATGACAACCAGAAGCGACCGTGAAATACTTAGGAAAATAAGGTATAGAATGAATAATGAGTAACTTTGCAACCACTAAGTTTTTTTTTTAAATCTATTATGTTAAATTCCTTATTCATACACTCAAATGTATCAAAACATATTTCACAAATAACACCTCCATTTATAGTCTGTCTCGAAGCAAGGTAAATTTCCTTATTAAGAAAACAATCCACTAATAAACACTGGCAATTATCTTGTTTAACCAATCAAAAAATATCTGCTTATTTCAGTTTGTTTAGATATTATATGTACTCCATTTATTCAAATTAGCACATTTGAATTTTGTTTTGTGACCTCTCCTTGACAATGAACTTTTCATTAGTATGGTGGATGTAGCATTTCACTGAAACTCACTTTCCTACATGCACAGAGGCAGGTATGAAGCGCCCAACCAGATACAATGAATACATATAGTCAGTGTCAAGTACATCGACGGCGGACAGCAATAATAAACACGCACATAATTCTACTGTAAAATTATAAATAAATAAATATCCCCGCCTCATTAGGTGACTAGAAATGTCAGTTCTCAGTGGATGCGTTTCGTTTTCGCGTCTGCTTTTCGTATTTGCTGTTGTGTCTGAATGAGTGTTTTTGGTTGCTTGAATGATTGGTTTTATCCAAGTCTCGCATTAATTTTGTCCAATATCTGTCTATAGTTCTGAGTACTCTCCGGCCTTCTTCAGGTGTCGTCAAGGACACATGGCCTAGTGGATAAAAGCGATCCAGTTACTTGACCTAAAGAGTTGTGAGTTCAATACCTGGCTACTTCAGTGGTGTGAAATAAATAAATAAATAAAAAATGGAGAATTGAGTTAAAGGGAGATAACTGAGACGTCCGGTTGACGAAGTAAAGGGTTCGATTCGAAATTCCAATCATCTGAAGAAGGCCGGAGCGTACAGCGGCCGAAACGTGAATATGTCAATAAAGATGACAACAGTCCGAATAATGTAAATAATTTCAACCAGTTAACTGTTATTTCTGGCGCAATAAAAGATTGTTTGTGTGTCTGGGGAGATGTATTACTAACATTTTGTTCAATTTCCCCACCCCCACAGACAAATTGTACATATGGGGACTAGTTTGGACTTTATAGAGATTTTGTGCTATTATGATTGTTGCAGTAAGAATAGTAAGTATGAATGTAAGTTTTTGGTGCAAGGAATATTGTAAAGTTTGTTTGGGTCCGTGATTGTGGCTAAACTCAGTTTAAGATAAAACAGATTGAGGACCAGCCTTCCCAATCTCCACTTTTGGGACCATGTGCCATATTTTCTGTTTTTAACAGAAATAAATATTAATAAATAAATTATTACAAAACCTACAACTTTGTTCTCAATCAATCACCACAAATGTAATGAACTAATTTGGTATAACGAACACGATGATGATCAATATACAGTCGACCCCATTATTGATATTGTCGGAGTTACCTCCTCCTTCTGTCCTTGAACCAGCAGAGGAACAGGTCTTTTCGACCTTGACCTCTCATTCATACTCCTCACACACTGTTAACACGTCAGAGGGACTAGCAAATCCCCTTTTTTAGTTAGGCTATATTACAAACCTAGGTGTAATATACATCTAGTCATTTTTAGACCATAGTTATCTTTAGCTAACCTTGTAGTATTTTTTTATAGAGACTTTTCGGTTAGCTTAGCCAATTTCTCTTGCTGGTCCCCCTCGACACAAGACAGTGATTTCTCCCAAGCTTTGGGGAGGCTGTCGGCGGCCGCAACGGTCGTCTACACAGGCCCTTTGGCCTTCATTGGCCAAGGGCGCCGATCTACGGGCTGTGTATTAAGTTACGCTCCCATTTCTTTTTGTCTGCCAACTTGACGATAGTTGGGAACTTTCTTTCTCTCTCTCCCTTCCCAACACGTCAAGTTGGCACCCCGGCAATGATAAACAACGAGTTGGCAACACGAACTACAGCAACAAGTTGGCACCCCGGCAACGACTCAACATCAACAACCACCAAGCGATCATCCTGGCAACAACTCACATCAGCGTCAACCCCCCCAACAACGATGATCCTAGCAACTGCCAACCTCGACCATCAATGCCTGCACTAAAACTTCTGCAGTATCCAGCACTCCTGCAGCATCCAGCTCACTCCTGCAGTATCCAGAACTCCCGCATCATCCGGCTCACTCCTGCAGTATCCAGCACCTCCACCGTTTCCGACCATCTTCATTTCCTTTTCCTTTTAGAATAAACCTCTATATATCATATATATCCTCGTTCTGTCGTCCATATTGTTTCGCGGTCAGATTTAACGTCTTCAAAAATGTTAGCGGGCCTCTTGTGACCTCGTTCACCCCTTTCCGTGATACGGGGCCACTGGACCGCCCGCTACAATATACGCTACGAAACCGAGAAAAGAAAATAACACATCCAACTATTCCACGTAGATTCTGTTACTCCAGTTTTTCAAGTAGGGTCAGCCTGACATATTTAAAGGTCAGCTTTTGAAATCATTTCCATGTTTTATTATCTAGTCGCAAAATAAATAACTTGGTTTAATAAAGTTTACAATAAGAAAAACTCCTGAGAGGAAATAAAAACCCATTTAGAACAGCACGAGACAAACTGGATTGACCACATGTTTCAATCGTAAGTTTTCTAGTAACTACTATAGTTACTGCTGTTTACTACTAGGCATGAGTATTAAAATCGTAACACTTAAAATTAGAAGTGATGGTTTACATTACACAATGACTATTTTAAAAAGACGCGTTTCGAAAAGAATCACATTGTTAAAATCTTGCATTAAAAATATTTTTAATGAGAGATTTTAACAATTTACTCCGTTGAAGTGTGATAGCAAATTAGTTTTGAAAAATAACTGTCTAGTGGGTTCGACTCACATTGAATTTCTCACATTGTTATTTAAGATAAGGTTAGCAAGGGACTTATTAAGGCTCTACACTTAAGACTACGCCACTTTTCCACATTGTTATTGTACAGAGATAGAACAAGACAACAGGAATGGAGCATTCAATTTTATTCAACTCCTAGCGACTTCTCGCTGAAGTGTAAATAGCAAGCTAGTCTTGTAAAGTTACAACTCTAGTAGGTTCGATATACACGGAATGCTTCACATAGTTGGCATTGCGCCAAAATAAGACAAGGTTAGTAAATAATAAATGCAAGTAAATATACACAGAAGATAGTTAAAAAAGCCAAATGATGCTTGCAAATTGGAATGGACAAGAGACTTGAACGTCCAATTCTTAAACAAATTCCTTTGTTGTACACGAGAATGTAAATTCTAAAGAATGATAAAGGATTTCCCAATTATTTTCCCCGCACAAGAAAACATTTTTTTAACTTTTTGAAGATATTTGTTTTAATATTCACTGTTAAGTGAATTTAATGTTAACTATTGATTGATAATGGAAGTGAACATAATGATGTCTTCTGAAATGCAATTTGTTTGAAGCTCGTCTTGTTTTCTCATCGAATTTATGTCGTCGTATAATTGCAGTGTCGGATTGATTTTAGAATGCATCATTATTACAAACATTACTAAATCGATAAAAAATAAAAAAAAACCCAAGATTTTTCGATTATAACAAATGCTATGGCATGAAGAAATTCTAATGAAGACTAATCAACAAAGAAAGTTTATTCTCCGAAAATTTTCCCTACTTCTTACGAGTGGACCAATCTATTTAAGTAGTGACGTATGTTCAATTTATCTGGCCTGCTTTTGAGCGTAAGGTTTTTCTCACTCTTTATAAAAGTCTGTATTCATATATAGAGGTACTAAAAGGAAGGATTTTGAAGAGTAGTTCTCTCATTAGGAAGTGACTAATCTCCTTAAGTTTAGACTATATCAAGTTTTCTAGTTTAATTCTTTGAACTTTTTTTTTTTACACAATGATGTTCACCCTGTACAAGGCCCGGGAGCTCAAGGTAGAGAGTTATAGAGTAAAAGGTACAGTTTATGCGGATATGTGGGGAAGATTAGATTAGATTTTATTGTTTTACTTTTATTACATTTTAGTCAACTTATAAAATACATTTCGATTGTATAGTTATATTTTGACAAATTTAGTCTGGGTACCCTAAACTCATGGCATTGTGCAAATGCCATGAGTTTGAGGTACCCAGTGAGAATCGAACTCATTTTGCAAGACCAGGTCATTAATTCACAGTTGTAATGTACAGAGAAAGTGCCAGTTATTTAATTTATTAAGTGTAAATTAGTCAGATACAAGGCAACAGAAATGGAGCACTCAATTTCATTCAAGTCAGCGAAATTACTCATGTGATGTACTAACTAATGCCCCGTTATTTAAGACTTAAATTCTGTGATTAAAACGAAATAAAGCAATATTAATAAAAAAAAAAAGGATTTTTAGCTTACCAATATTTTTTCCTTGACTGGATGTTATTGTCGTCGTAAGAATCAGAAAAAGTAATATTTTTCTTGTTTTGCCTCCACTCATCCCGGCTGCAAAGATCAACGCACAAAAACTTTGTAGATTTATTTCCTCGCAACTGCAAAAACACGTTTATGATAAACGTGTTTTAATTTGGTAAACGATTTTTTATTTAATTCAGTAATGCATCTATAGGAAACAGTATTTCGGATAAGACTCCAAACACGGTTCATAATAATAATAATAACGACTATATTAGAAATAAAGAAGAAATGTTTATTATTCGAGCAGCAAAAGCAGTGAATATCATGTTACTGAAAAAATGTCTCGTTTGTTGCCTCGCCAACCACTTAAGTTTTCGTTCCTTATTTGACTTACTCACAACTTCTCCCCTTCACTACACCTGCTACTGTGTTTTACTTTTATTTTCAATACTTACTTAACTGAACGAATAGGCATTCTTAAGTTAACAGTGTCGGGGTTAACTCCTCCTTAATTTCCTAATTGTTCAAATTGTTCACAGGGGGGCGCTCTCCCGACACTATATACAGTTGATGAAACCCTGCCTCGCCCTCTATTTCAGTGGACATTTCAAAAAATGTAATCTCTCGTGAGGAGTTGTGTGTTTCCGTTTGGGTGGGTGTGGGGAGACTACATAAACATTACACACACTCATGTACGTACGTACGTACGTACGTACGTACGAACGAACATTCACTCACACATTTCTTAGAACACAAACTTGACACAATTATTTGTTACACATATTATTGCTTTTGTAATTTGTATCCGTTTGTTTGTTAATATACATATAATTTTATTGTATATATATATATATATATATATATATATATATATATATATATATAACTGTCTTGATTGTTTTTTCTTTTACATTTCTTTTGGGTGAACTGGACTTGGGCCCGCCATATTTGTGGTAGGCTCTATTTCAGGAGATACAAGTGTTCATCTTACAACACGTACGACAGTCCGCCAAAACAGTTACTGTCAGCGCTGCAACCACACACACACACACACACAAAAAAAAAATAAATAAAATAAATAAATAAAAAAAAAAATTTAAAAAGTATTTTGAAAAGAATGTTTAATTTTTGCAAGTAGCAGATCAAGTATTGATTAATCATTCGTGTCTGTTGCATCGATTACGTTCTTTTGAACAAAATTGTTACGTTTCTTTTTTTTTATTATTGGTAGAGAAACTAAACACTTTTATCCATCCAAGCTTTGATTTATATAGACATCAACAATAAACATACATTCTAACTCATATTCATGCATCCGACCATTTAAATATCGTCCTGGGTATGACGATAAACTACATCCGCGTCCTGGGTAAGACAATAAAGTACATCCGCGTCCTGGGTAAGACGATAAACTACGTCCAACATCAAGGCCTCTGATCAGGAGTTTTTGAGGAGTGTGGAACCACCTCTTAATCGCTGGTGTTCTCAGGTCCACCCTGACCCGGGGTGCTAAAACCTATTAGGGTCCCAGCTATGGGTAAATAGTTAACCCCCAAACTGGGGACAAAAACACTATGAAAGTGTAAAAATAGGTTTTAATATCAGCAATGCTTTTTCGCAAAAAATATTACCAACAATACAATATTACCATCAATACATTTTTGAAAAAAAATATTAACAGAAATAGATTTTTTGAAGAAAAAAATATTACCAGAAATACATTTTTTGAAAAAAAAAATATTACCAGCAATAAAATATTTGTCGGCATTACATAACCTATTGAGGTTGATATGCTTTAAATAAAACAAACCAAACGAAACCATTTAAATATTTTAACGAACTTTAACGAACTCGGAACGCGCTTTCTTACACTGAAGTTGGCTTCAAAGTAGGCTAGGCAAATATACCCGGATGTGTGACCTTAGTTTGAAAGAAACAGCTGCACGCGTTCTAGGATCATGTCGACGAGTTGATGGCGCATATAGATCTCGAACATCTTGTGACCATTGATTTAGCGTACGTGTGCAATAATGTGTCTCCCGCGTGTTCTCAGGTGAGACGGGTGGACTTTCTAACGCTGCTAGACGTGGCAAGGATGATGGTGTGGACGACGCGGATGGCGAGAATCTTACGATACGAACGTTATTCTCATCAACATCTGAAGAGTATTTACACAAAAGCGAATCTGACGAACTCGATCGAGCCATTACCAGTTACACCACCGACACATCCAAGCTTACAACACCTGGTATTCCCAAGCTATCACCTGTCTCTAGTATGAGCGAGCGAGTGGGTTGTAAAAGAAAGCACTTTAATCAGAAAGAGACAGATTAAATTTCTAGGATGCAAAATGAGGAAAGTTGGTCTAGAGAATCTGATACTCACAGGACATATTGGAAGCAAGAGGAACAGAGGAAAGTCGCGAATAATATAACTAACAACCCTGCCTTACTTCTTGCCTATCTCACACTGCGAATTTTTTCTGAGCTCTATACTAAACATTAAATCTGTTACGAAAAAAGAACTAAACAAAATGAACATAAAACGATCAGCTTTAAAAAAGGACTCGTAACTGGAAAAACCGAATAAAAAAAGAATGTTAACAACAAATACTTTTTCACACCCAACCCAGTTCTGCGGGATCAGAATCAACGTTGAGTTTAAGCAAGCGAATGACAGTTAATGTTAATTAACATTCGTGTCAGTCAGCTGTTGGCTCTCACGCTGGCCAATAGAATCTTCCTGCCTATTTGTGCAGCCAGCTATAGGCTCTAACTCTGGCCAGTAAAAAATGTCCGCAAACTACATGAAAACTGCCGTAGAAGCATAAAAAAATCGATTATTTCCACTATCGATGGGAGTTGGGAAATGCAAAGTCGGTCTAAGCCTTCTCGCTAACTTGGAGCATGTGCATGTAAATTTGGGGGCAAATCCGTCGAAAATTGCGGTCGTGCACACACACACACACACACACACACACACACACACACACACATCCTGCCGTTTATAGATAGAAATAATTATTATTTGTATTTTTCCATGTCACAGGTGGTTGTTGTTGAAGACCGAATGACAATAGATCATATTTAGCAATCTCTTGAGCTTTCCTGTCAGTCTCAGCTCTGATGAGTTCGGAATGGTCCTAGCTCTCCTCGGAACTTCAGTTTATACAATCTCGCTGTTTTTTTAGGACGATTCTGAAGTAATTTAATTATGATCATGATCCTAATTCTCATCTTTTAAATCTTTCTTCTGTTTCCCGGTAATTCTGGTGATTTTCAGTCATGCGTTCTCTTTCATCTTTATTCAGCAGATAATGTGTAGACGTCGTGATTAAAGGAAATCCTTTAAAGGTTGCTTAATGTAACTTGATATTTCAACTTGATATTTAATTACATTTCCATGATTTTCATTTTAGCATGAAAGTACACACATACGCGTGTGGGCTAGGTGTGACACCATTTAGGGCTGCAAGGAAAAAGGAAGAAAAAAAAAGAAAGAAAAAGAGAGGCGAGAGTTAAAACTTAGATGATAAAGGAAAGCCATCACAAAAGGGGCATTTAGCGATGTTATTTTGATAATGAAGAATGGTGAAAATTTTTATGGCCATTGTCGAAAAGCTAAATTCCAGGTGGGCCAAATAACCAGATACAGAGTTTTGAATAGATAAAAAATTAACTGTGTCATGGTGGCGAACTTATATTATCGGGAAAAGATTTTCCGTTGACCGAGAAATAAGAATGTCCTGACCACACACAAAGAGAAACCAACCCTAGGTTAAGTCTTTGTCGATGGGAGGGTGTCATTGAGAGAAAAGACATCTGGGTTGTGTTGGAAATTGACTATGACAGCGAAACAATATTATCAGAAATTGGCGAAGTCGTTTCATCGTATTAGTGGTTGGCGCCGGAGAGTGAGTGTGTCTGGTTGACCAGCCACTTGGTGCTGGCGAGAATCTGATTGACGAATTCCATATGAAAGTGACATTGGGATAAGAATTGAGATTATCACACTACGGGTCGTATTGTTCTGCTGGCGGCCAGAGAAGAAGAGAGAAAGAAAAGAAAGAAAAGCAATAGAAAAAAAAAGAAATAGGAGATATTTTTTTTTCTTTGAGCAAGATATTTTTCTAAAAACAAAGCTAGTCTGGTCACACCCACACTGTTGAACGCCCATTGGATGAATGTTAACGAGAGCCAGGCGGAGGTGATCATGTGATGCAAGGGGGAGGCCTGCTACCACCCATTGAGGTGATAGGTATGAGATGTTACTGCGAAGGAGTGGGAAAACCGTTGACGCCTTCTGAGGGTATGGTGAGATACCCATATGAGAACAGAAGAAGGTAGGAGTAAGAGAAGACTTCCAAAAATGGAAATAATAAATTTTTCCTGACCGAAAACAAAAGAAGGGGATTGTGGATTTGGAATTATCAAGGAACCTCAAACCCCAACAAAGCCCACCCCGGTTTGGGTCGGCGTCCATATAAGCAAAGTCGCAGCGAGCGAAAATCAGTTGAGTTCCAGTCGAGTTCAGTTTTTTCGAGTTTAAGTTGGGAGCTCTGAAGGCCCACCACGCATTAGCTTGAAAGATTCACGCAATTTCGACTCATCTTCTAACCAAGAACAATTTATTTTTGAAGAACGACTTAGACTCATACCACCAAAACAAGTTTTACGAATATCGCCTGAAGACACACCAAGAACCAGTTTCTTAAAGAACAGACAACTTAAGATGTTAAGACTCGCCTAACAAAAACAACGTGTCACGAATTCATACAGCGGTTTGGGAGAAAGATGTAGTCCTGTATTCAGTAACCAGATATAAAATATTGTTATCCTTTTTAAAACATTTGAACTTTTCGAGTTGTTATTTTATTTTCTTTTACATCTATTTGTGCGATATCACCCTTATTCGAACTCGACTTGCATTACGGCCCCGGCGACTGATTGATTTCGTCTGCCTAAGATCAATTCACAACGTGGGTAGGCAGACTGGAAATCAAAGTAGTTACTTCGGTAACCAGACGTTGGAGGCGAGTTGGGAACGACGAGGCTGATATCGAATCTAACCAGATTCCCATCC